CATTTCCGAAAGCAGGGCCCTTTGAGCAGCTGCTCAGCCACACCCAGCGACCACTGGGGCAGCAGGACTCTGGCCCGGTCTGCCAAGCGGAGACCAGCTGGGCTGCCCTCTGCTCCAGCAGGCCTTGTACTGGCCCCCTTCTCCCCCTGCCCCCCATTTCCCTGCAGGGAGGGGGCAGCCCTAGGGAGCTCCCACCCTGCCCCCACCAGTCATTCTTCCTGTGGAAGGCAAGTTCTCACCAGCAGGCGCAGGGGCCCTCGGCTGCCAGGACCCTGTTGCCCACAGGGAGGGGCCGCTCACTGCTGGATGTACTGTCTGTATGGTCCCACCCCTGCCCCAACCCCCATTAAAGACCACTTTGTACAGAGTGCTGGCCAGCGTGTTCTTGATGCAAGGGGGCTGGGAGGGGGGCCTGCAGCCCAGCCCATGGCAGGGCCCATACAGGGTGCACCACACCCCTGAAGCAGACTGGTCCAGCTGAGCCTGGTCTCCTTGGGGCAGGGCTGGCAGATGCAGGAGGGTCAGGCTCCCACACTGGTGGCAGTAAAAGCCACTGGCACTGTGTTAGGGCAGGCCCACGCCCTTAGCCCCACAAGGGCAGATTCCCTCTCAGCAACTGAGAGCCCACAGCCAGGCCCACATTCCTCACCCATAGGGTGTCTGGGAGAGTCAACTCGTGGGCAAGGCCCCGGCCCCAATTCCTGGGGTGGGGCAAGGGGCAGGAGCACGCAGGCAGGGCTTGGCTCTCACCCCTGGTAGCTAGGGATCGGGCTGCTCCAGCCCAGCCCAGCCCAAGCGAGATCTGCCGGGTGAGCCAATAGCCTCCCCCCAGGACAGCCCAGGACTCCGCTGTGGGAACAGGCTGTTCGGTCACGGGGGCCCAAGAAGAGACAGTCAGACAAGGAACAAAAATAATCCTCCCCTTTCTAGTCACAAGGAAAAGCTCCAGTCCATCTTTTTATTTTTTTTGAAAAATTTCCTGACATTACAGAACTAAACTGAAATGTATTAATATTCCACTCTTACATTTCATGACAAACAGAAAACTTCATGAGCCAAAAAAAGGGAAAAGCTTATAAAACTAAGATATGAATCTCAGCATTTTAACAGCTGAACAGAGAAAGGAATTAAAATGCTGTAATTAAAAAAAAATCATGAGTGGATGGGTAAAGCGTGTAGAAACGGAAATTTACAAACTAGTTAAAACCTGGAATCTGACTGCTTAGAAACTACACAGATGGAGCATGGGGATGAACAGCCGAAGGGGTAAGGAGGCGCTTGCATCGTCCTAGCTGCTTCCCATTCCACCAGTCTCCGAAGAAAGCCTAGAACAGAGCAGAGGGGAGAGGTTGACACAGGCTCAGGCACAGGGAGCCCACGTGGAAGTGGGGCTCTGCGGAGGCGACCTGGAGCAGTGGGGCTGGCTCCCACGTGACCCTCTTGCCACTGGCCACACAAGGCGCCGTGTGAACTGCAGCTTGTTCCCCAGCACTGCCTGGGGCTGCCCCGACAGTGGGCAGAGGCAGAGTCGACGAGCCTGCTGCAGAGGATTGGGAGATGGGCCAGACTCCAGTGCTTGCCCCACAAGGGCAGACACTGGCACTGGATGCCATGGGGCTGGGCCCAGGCCCCTTTCAGGCCAAGCACAGGCCCTGCTGGTGAAAGGGGACAGCCTGGTCTTCCTGAAACATGCCACAAGGCTGTGGGGGGCAGGGGGTGCCAGGCAGCAGCCACAGCCCCCACCGGTGCTCGGCTGGCAGCTTCGCAAGGCCACGTGCTGCCCCACGCCACTGGGGAACAGCCCGAGGGCCCCCGATTTGGCCAGGAGTGGGTTTGACATCCACAAGCCTGGGCCGCATTTGGGGGGGATGGAATCAGGACCAAACAGCTGGATTAAAGCCCTTCCCCCACAGGGGTACTGCCAACCTGCTGCAGCCCTGGGCCGCTGGCGAGCCGGTCCCACTAGGCCAGGATGCCGGGCTCCCTAGAGCAGGTCCTTGAGTCTAGCCAGGACTAACAGCACAGGGGCCTTGGGGCAAGTCAAGGAACTCCCAGCAGCCAGGCGTGTGATCTGGAAGGTCAGTCTCTGGGCCTAGCGCTCGCTCCCCCAGCCCTCAGACTGGCTAGCAGGGGCGCCTGGTGGCAGCATGTCCAGTGACCTCCGGCCATCGAGCGTGCCCAATACTCCAGCCTTGGTGCGTCACGGCACCAGCAGCTGGGGAGTGTCTGCCTGGCCCCTGGGGAGAGGGGGCAGACACTCGCCATGTGTCACAGCCAGCAAGTTCCTTCCCCCCCTCCCACCCGAGACCATCTGCCACAGCCACCATCCCCCCCAGCGACTGCCACCAGCACCTAGGCGGCCGTGGAGCCGGCTGGCTCCTCCCACCGCAGGGCATGGATGGGCAGGGAGCACTGCAGCTGGCTAGGCCCGGCCCTGTTGCAGCACGTCCGGCGCCTCCCACAGGTGCCAGCCTCCCAAGTGAGCTGCCCAGGTCGCTCCCCTGAAAGGACGCAGGCGGCTGCCCAAGAGGCCCCTGCTTCCTCCAGAGGGCTGGACAGCCCCTGCCCTGGGACCCAGGCCAGATCACAGCAGCATCTCTGCTGGAGTGTGACTGAGCAGGTCTAGTTACGGTTCAGGAAACTGACCAGAGGGCACCTCCCCGCATGGGCCAGGACCCTGCGCGGAGCAAGGGAAGCGGACGGGGCCGATGGGACACTCGATCCAGGCCCAGCGACTCCAGCTGGGAAGCATGCAGCTGGAGTTACCCATCGAGTCGACCTGCCCCTTAAGCGCAGCCCCGGCCTCAGAGGAGGAGCGTCCCTTCCAAGGGCAGCAGCCGGGGCGCCAGGGCTGCACGCGGGGGAGAGGGTCTAGCTAGGGAGCTGCCCACTCAGCGCACAGGCTCAGGGAGGCTGTTCCAAGTGCACTTCCGGGCCTGGCCTCGGGACAGGCTGAGACACAAGGACCTGCCTGGGAAAGCCAGGCATGCAGGCTCTGGCAGAGGCCAAGACTGCCCCTAGGCACGTGCCCTGCCCAGAAGGGGGCCAGATCTCAGAGCGCAGAACGTCTGGCTGAGCCGCAGCTGGACCCCAAGGGCTCTTCGAGTTCAGACCTGAGCTGCTCTTCAGCAGCCCTCCCGCCCCGCAGGAGCCTCCCTGCAGCTCCAAGGCAGCGTCAGCAGCTTCAGGGGGAAGGCAAGGGCAAGGTTAAGCACCCTGGCCCAAGGTCGCTGCCCAGAAGGGGGCCAGATCTCAGAGCGCAGAACGTCTGGCTGAGCCGCAGCTGGACCCCAAGGGCTCTTCGAGTTCAGACCTGAGCTGCTCTTCAGCAGCCCTCCCGCCCCGCAGGAGCCTCCCTGCAGCTCCAAGGCAGCGTCAGCAGCTTCAGGGGGAAGGCAAGGGCAAGGTTAAGCACCCTGGCCCAAGGTCGCAGCACAACACCGCTCTCCTGCCTCCTGTGGCCTAACAGAGACCGGCCAGTGGGAGCAGCCAGGCGCCCCCC